AATTTTTTCACTAGGTCCACTAGCAATAGGTTTGATGGGGAAAAGTTCTTTGTGAATTCAAATAAAAACAGGGCTTTCAATTAAACTCAAATTTTTTCCATGGATCTTCTAGCAATGGTTTTCTTTGTAATCAATTTTCTAGGAATCTAAATAAAAGCTCTAGTTTACAAAAAAACTTAAATGTTTTTCTTACTATTTCCTCTACTGCAAGGTTTAATGGGAATGCAATGTAAGTCACTTAAATATTATAACATATTTAAATGACAAAATAAATGAAATAAGTGAAAGAAAAATATTGATAAATACCTCCTGCCATTGTTTAGTTTGAACAATTGGCTTGTTTTTTTCTCTTTGTGTTTGATCCTTTTAAGCACTCAAGAAGATCACACGAAGCAGCAATGCACTAAAGAAGATTTTTATTCCTATGGACCAACAAATTTTGCTTCTATTTATAGACATTTTTCCATAAAAAGTTTTTATGCAATTAATGGGAATTCAATTTTGTAACATTTTCTTCATTAAAATCGTAACAGAAATACTTACTTATGTTATGGTTTTCTCATTAAAAAACGAAATAGAAATACTTAATTCTATAACATTTTTCTCATTAAAAAACATAACATAAATACTCAATTCTAGAACATTTTTCTCATTAAAAAAATGTAACAGAGATACTTAATGAGGGATGTATGGATTTGAGTTACTACATGGATCATTAAAGGGAAGATAATTTACATTCTCCCACGTGGTCCATATATCTCATTAATACTACTCAAATTTTATTAATAATTTTTCTTAAGAACTAAGGGAAATACATGAATCATGGCATAGGTCCTTTTAAAAATGAGAATTATCTTCCATGTATCACTATGCATTTTACTTCTTTAATTTTGTCCATTATTACTTAATGAATAAATCTTATGTTTATTTTGGGTCTAAACTTTAACAATATTTCTCAAAATAAATAAATAAATGTTACACAAGAATAGCAAAATGAGAAATATCACAAACAAATAGAGTTTTATTAACATTCATTTTTATAATAAAATTTATATAGTGGAACCAAGTCCCATCTCGATCATTTGATCCTTAAATTTTAATGGTGGCATGTTTTTAGTCAAAGGATTAACTACCATCAATTCAGTTTTAACGTGCTCTATGACCACTTTCTTATCTTTAACACGTTCTTTTATGGCTAAGTACTTAATGACGATGTTTTTACTTCGACTATCATTTTTGTTATTTTTAGTCATGAAGACAACAACTGAATTGTCGCAATATATCTTCAATGGCTTAGAAATTGAATCAATGATTCTAAGCCCATAAATAAAACTCTTTAACTATGTTCCGTGTGAGGTAGCCTCAAAACATGAAACCAACTCAGCCTCCATAGTGGAAGTGGCAGTCAAGGTCTACTTAGCACTCCTCCAAGATATAGCTGCACTAGCAAACATAAAAATATCTCTTGATGTTGATTTTTGTGAATCAATGTAGCCAGCAAAGTCTGAATTAGAGTAGCTAATCACCTTCAAGTTATCAGTTTGTCTATACATAAGCATGTGATTAATCCTTTGTTCCTTGAAGATGTCTCAGAACTTTCTTTGTAGCTCCCTAGTGGTTAATACCTAAATTACTCTGATACCTTCCTAACATTCTAACAGCAAATGCAATGTCACCAGTTTTGTGCAAACTTGAGCATACATTAGACTTCCAATAACAGAAACATATGGAATGGTCTTCATTTGTTACCTCTCTAAATTTTTTTTAAGGCATTGGTTCAAATTGAACTTGTCACTCTTCACAATGGGAGCTATACTCGATGAACAATCTGTTGTTCAAAATCTTTCTAAAATTTTATTAATATAGGTTTCTTGAGAAAGACCCAAAATATATCAATTTCTATCTTTATGACTCTCAATACCTATAACATAGGACACATCACCCATATCTTTTATATCAAAATTTTTAGAGAGAAATTATTTCACCTCATACAACATTCCATTATCATTACTTGTAAGTACAATATCATCCACATATAAGATAAGGAAACAAAATTTGCACCCACTGATTTTTTGGTGTATACACTAATCCATAATGTTTTTTACAAAACTAAATGAAGAAATAACATCATGGAATTTTAAATACCACTGACAGGAGGCTTGTTTCAATCCATATGTGGATTTCTTCAACTTGTAGACTAAGTGCTCACCTTCATTAGAGGAGAATCCTTCTGGTTGTTTCATGTAAACCTCTTCCTCTAAATCACCATTGAGGAATGTTGTTTTCACATCCATTTGTTGCAGTTTTAGGTCAAAGTGAGCTACCAATACCAACATAATTCATAAGGATTAGAAACAAGAAAAAAGTCTCTATGTAGTCAAATCCTTCCTTTTAAATGAATCCCTTTGCAACAAGAGGTGCCTTGTATCTCTTAATGTTGCCTAATGAGTCTTTCTTTGTTTTAAAGACCCATCTGCAGCCAATGACTTTTGCAGGATCAGGCAACTCAAAAAGATCCTAGGCCTCGTTACTCTTCATGGAATCCATTTCATCTTTCATGGCATTAAACAATAATTTTGACTCTCTATAACTCGTGGCCTATGAAAAGGACTCAGGATCATTTTTTACTCCAATATTATAGCCAGACTCTTGTAGTACACAACATAATCACTAAAAATTACTTACTTTCTCTCTCTAGTAGATCTCCATAATGTACAAGGACAAGTTCTTCAGAATTATATTGTTGTTCAACTGGCTGTTCAGAATTTTATGCTATCTCTTGAACAATTTGATCTAGTGAATTATTTTAGCATCTTTTGGAACTTCAATAATTGGTTGCTTAAAACATTTGCTCTTTAAGGGTGTTGTGTATGATAACAAATCTACCTCTTGAAGTGGAAGGTTGATATCTCACATAAACTATGTTATGAAACTGCTTGCTCCTACTAATTAAGTCATTATGAAGAAACTTTAAATTTCTTGACTCATAATCCTAGTTTTGTGAGATGGAAAATAAAAT